ATTAATTATTATTAATGGCATTTTCATTAATTAACTCATATCTTCGTCAAAAAGGCGCATGGGCCCAAACCAACTGGGGTTTTTCACTACTGACTATTCCCTACATGATGAAAATAGTCTGAGTCGAAAAGCTTATAATCACCTCGAGAAGTTCCCTCGTCAGACTTTTCAGACGGTCAAAGAAGCATAAAGTTTATAACTTTAAAGGTAGTCCTTGTCTTACAAAAAAATTTTATTTACACAGAATTTTTATATGTCGAAAAGAAAAAAATAATTGCATTCAAAAATATCGGAAGGTATTGGCGATAAACTTTTTTTGAAATAGATCGTAATACAGATAAAGTACGAGATTTTCCAGAAAACTTATTAAAGAATATATCACAGAATTCTGAGTAAACTACATCGGTTTGCTTTTTCGATGTTCCATTTCTGAGAAGAATTTTTAACTGAACTGCACTTTCGTCCCGTATGTAGTATCAGGGTGAAAAGAGAGGTGAAAAGTTCCTTTTTTCAGAAAGAACCGTTTGAAGGTTTTACGCACTGTCTGAGATAAGTTTACGGTTTTGTTATTCCATAATTTAATTTAATACCTTTTATATGTCCCATAGATTATTCTCGACATCTTGTTGTTTATATTTTATTTTAAAACTAATATCTGTGCATTTTTTCTCTCATCTTTAGGCTTATTCATTATACGACCGTGAAGTTGGATATTGTCAAGGAAGTGCATTCATTGCAGGATTATTATTGATGCATGTATGTAACTATTTTTCCAGAAATTAAACTTTTCAATATAATTCATAATGAGAGAGAATTTAAATCAAGCTTTTCACTGGATAAATGACTATTTAGTCTACTTAAAATTTATTGGTTCGTTGTTGATGGTATTTCTTAAAAATCTTCATCTTTGACATATACATAGAAAAAAAAATATTCTTAACAATGATAGTAGTATGATTTATGACGTATAATTTGAACGCTGAGTCAGTGTCTATAGACAGGTGAAAAATAATTGTGTAAAAACAAAATTATAAATTTAAACCTTTCTTCCTACTCAAAAATCAACTTTCAACACGGAATGTCTAACCTTGATGAAATTTTTAGTAAATGTTACTCATATCAAGGTTATATTACAGCAACAATCTCCGCTCTGTATTCCGTGTTTTCCTAGAGTTATCCATAAGACAGTGGTCAAAAAGTAGGTGTCGGTACTAGAGAACTGCACGCGCAGCCCGTGCAAGCAGCCGTGGAATTTTATTTAACGTCTTTTTGCTCAGAGAAATTCCATGACGGCTGTGCGCGGGCTGCCCATGCAGAACTCTAGTCGGTACGTTTCGGAGTTCTCTGTCATTTTAAGTGCTAAAATTCTCGAGTTGATCTTAAACTGTAACCAAGAGTTTGAGAAAAATAAAAAGTTTCCGAAAACTTCATAGAAACGCAGAAAAAAATAGCTAATTTTTCGGAAACTCTTAGTTTTTCCCAAACTCTTGGTTACAGTATAAGATCAACTCGAGAATTTTAGCATTTAAAATGGCAGTGAAATCCGAGACGTATCGACATCTACTTTTTGACCACTGTTTTATGGATAACTCTAGGAAAACACGGATACTTAGCGGAGGACTTAAAATGGTTGAGAAACTTGGAAAGTGCTGATATCTACGCTTTTGCTTTCATGCACTGTTTTGATGCTATAAGCAGATTTTCACGAACCAGAAACGTCATTTGTTTTGAATTTTTATCCAGTGCTCATTGATAATAAACATTATTTTGCTTCCTAGATGCCTGAAGAAGATGCATTTTTTGTATTAGTATCACTAATGCAAGACTATAAAATGCGTGAAATGTATAAACCAAATATGTTTTATCTTGGACTGTGTATGTATCAGTTAGAGTGCATGGTAGAAGTGAGTTAAGATTCACTTACTTTGTATGCATCGAGTATTTCTTTCTTTAATAATTCTAGGAACTATTACCTGAACTACATCGTCATTTTCAAGCTGAGGGCTTTCATACATCAATGTATTCGTCGACATGGTTTTTAACATTGTTTACAACGCAGCTACCATTAGCATTAGTTTGTAGAATAATGGACGTGTTTTTAAGTGAAGTAGGGGTTATAAATACAATTTCTATTTATAATGATGTTCATTATTTCTAACTGTTATAGGGTATGGAAATTATATTTCGTGTGGGAATTGCTCTGTTGGAGATACATCAAGATGACTTAATGATGCTCGCAATGGAAGACATGTTAAAAGTAAGTAAAAACATATTTTTTGTATAACATAAAAATTTAGTTCAAAAGTGAGTCATAAAAGTTTTTATGACTAAAAAAATAGATCATTATGTTTGATTAAAAAGGAATTGTGCAATTACTTTAGTGTAACACGGTAAAACTATGATTAATAGATTTTCACCAGACGCACTCATTTTTTAAGTACTATCTTAGAATTCTCTAAAATAGTTCTCTGCTTTAATCATCGTTTTTAGTAGTAAGATATATTTTATTTATCGTGTTAAGCAATAGATATTTATTCAGTCAAGAATTAATTGATCAGCACAATCGTAATCAGCAAGTGAATGGCTGATCGTATTGACGCTTATCTTTGAAATTGCTTTAACTAAAATGTATTCTTCATGTCAGGTCGATTAAGTTTTTTTGGAGGTCAAAATCAAACCATTAATTGCGTAAACGAGGGAAAAACAACATCCGGTATTTTATTACTTAAAATCGTCTTTTTATGATAGACAGATAGATTCAGTAAATGTGTACATGTGTGTGTACATGTCGATTTTATAAAAAGGTTAATGTGTATAAATGCGCTACGCTCTTAAACAACGGTAAATATCATTCGAATTCGCAGATACATGATATTACGAAAAAAAGCACTTATCCTTGTAAGAGCCATTACATAAGAGCCACGATCGGAGTCGTTGAAACAACATGATTGGAATAAAAGATGAATGGATAATCAAAGGACCAAATATTTTGATAAATTCTGGCGGATTTTCGAGTTAATAGTTAAAATGTTAGAGGAATCTAATTTCTACAGGTCTATTCAAGAAAAGGTCTATGAACCGAAAACATCCAGTTGATCGGCTTCGTAATCAGCATAAAAAATAATCCTAGTCAGAGTATGTTTTAATAAAATCAAATCAGGGTTGATGGCCTGTAGAAATTAGATTCCTATTGACTCATCATAAACTTTGAGTTGTATGCAGTCTGACACAATCACATTATAAAGCCACATTGACTGTGTGTAGAAATTTTTAGAACTATCAAACACGTTTTCAGAGAGAGTTATAAAAACTTTTAGACAAAAAAAGTTTAGTGTCTATGGCTTTTAAGTATGATGAATCTAGAAAGACAAGACGATAATACTGAGAAGAATTGGTCTTCTCTGTTTGATTCATCGGCAGTATAGAAGAGGATTTTTTGTGACCAACTTTGTTGAACTTCTGGTGTAGACCTCACACATGAGCAGACTTTTTCTCATTCACGGATCATATACGTTCGTTCAGCATTCTAACAGCACATAATTCCATTTGATCAGTGTATATAAAAGATGGTGACATAAACGCGATTAATAGATGAACTTTTAATCCATGTTAAAGAGTAAATAAAAATCAGTCACGTTATAGAGAAAAGTGAAATATTGAAACAAATTTTTTTCCGTGACAATGACGGAACGCGTGATATTTATGATAACAAATATATTAAAGAATACTTTTAAAATTGTTCCTCATCATAATCCATTTATCGAATTTTGATTTTTTTAATGACTAATGTGTGTATGGTGATATCATAAGGTTTAGTTCGTCAACGAACTTGTATCTACATTTCTGCGCTGTCCTTGTCTACAATAGCACTTTGCGACATATGATGTATATCTTAAGTAAACATTTAAATATTTTTATCAAGAGGTTTTTTTGATTTATTAATCGCTTTTTGGAAAGAAAATACAAATATTTTAGCAGAACCAGTAGAAGAAAAATTATTTTACAAAATTGCCATTGTATGCGCATTCGAATAGTGAATAATAAATTTATTTTGCAAGTTTTTGTATTTTCGTTTCTTGTATTCCTTTTTTTGTCGTTTCTCCTTCTTGTTTTCTTTCTTCCGTAACCGTTGACACACCATACGTTTATCCTCTTAATTTCTTCTTTATTCAGTGGTTTCTTTTCTCCTTAACAAGGATTTTTTCTACTTATTCTTCCAACATTTTTTTCATTTCATTTTTCGTCGTTATGAAAACGAGTATCCCTATTTCATGTATAGATTTGATACATCATAAAAAAAAGAACACATCTAAACATATATTTACAATTAATTAAAAAGTAAAAATATTATCTTACATCAATTGAGTCATGGATCGTCGCTTACATTATGTTCAAGAACGTCTATCAGAATCATTGAATATTCAATATGTACAGGATCGTCTACAAGATACATTTAAAACTGTCCAAGGTTCAATGAATGCCGTTACATCGGTAAGATATGATTTTTTTTTCATAAATATATTAAAATTATCTATTATTCTTTTTTAAGAGTTGAGATTTTGCGTTCGGTTTAGACTATCGGTGACTTTGACTATAGATTAGTTAAAGAATGATTTATAGTAAAATGTGTCTCATTCGCGTTGACACAAAGTTCCATCATATTTCAACTTCAAGGTGAGAACAAAATATGAAGTGTTGAAATATCAATTATTTACATCTATTAATTTATCTGAAGTATAGAAAACTACGATATATTATTTATAGAGAACAAATATCTACATTATCTCTCTTAAGTAGATGAAGAATCAAGTTTTTTAATTTATTTTGTATTCACTGTATATTTCGAATAGAAATAACATCCAGAGTTCTTCAAACATTTTGCTTTGTTGACTAAATTGATCCAAAATACGTCATATTTTAGAACGAACAAAAGTGACACTCTAATTTTCATGAATCATTAGAATGAATAATTCTGTTTCCAGAAGAATCACTATTTCAGTGTCTATAAAATGAATAGTCAGAAAAAGCAAAAAAAAAAAACTTTGTACTAAATATTATTAATTTTTCTATTTCTCATTTTTTTTCTAACCAATCTATTTTACCTGTTTACTTGTTACTTTATATTTTTTGCTGTATTTATAATAATCGTTAGAAGAAAATGTAGACTCATATCATTTTAATATCTTTTGAGTATCGACATTTTCTTAACTGAATTATTTCTATTATTTAATCTATTGAAAGTTTCAATGCTCAGTTTTCAACTATTTTCTATACGAAAACACCTTAAAAACTTTAAACGATTTGGTCGCACATAATTTAGCTATCAGAGAGAATCAAGTTTTTTAATTTACTTTGTATTCACTGTATATTTCGAATAGAAATAACATCCAGAGTTCTTCAAACATTTTGCTTTGTTGACTAAACTATTAAACATAAACTTGAAAAAATGTAACATTCGGTATATTTTATTTTGCAAAAAAATCTGAAGATCACCAAAATTGTAGAAATGTTTCAAAATATTAAGCATAATTTATCCTAGAAATCAATCCAATGGAAAAGTGTTGGACGTATCTCCATTCACGGCATATAGAGAGTACAAAGAAGAGGAAAACATGATAAAATGACATTCTTATAGTAGAGTTATGTGATCAAGTTGTAAGTTCATATTTGACATGCGACTAGTTCTCAGAAATTACAATCATAGAAAGCATATTTGCTGTTGCTAGAAAAGAACAAGACAGAAAAACTAAAACGTAAAGAACAACAGCTCTATCCAGGGTTGCCAGAAGTGGTGACTCATAGGGAACGAAACAAAGAATTACCATGACAATTTCTTTGTTCAATCCCCCATGACTCACCACTTCTGACAACCCTGGCTCTATCTGAAGGAAATAAAAACTATGATGCTGTATAGAAAAGAATGTTTTTAACTCTTGAAAACCGTCAATTCGACACCATCTCGACTTAGAAAATTATAAAAATTTTCATAGAAACTCTGAAATGCATCGTTTAATAATGTATCTCTTTCTCAGTAATGATGAATTAACAGAATTCAAAATTAGTTTTTCTTGTTTGAAATTTGAGAATTCTCATGCACAAATTGCTCGAGTCAAAAGAATAACAATTTGTTAATAAATATTTAATCTTGTTTACTTCATATATGAATTTATTATAGAATTTAAGTTTAACCACCTGTCATTATACATGAAAATGATACTCAGAGTTCTATCGCATGTGTCTTTCAAAACTATTTTTTTATTTCTCATTGGCATGTCAATGACATCGTATGTAATACGACAGCTGTTTTGAATTCAGTTTCATATATTTGTGATTTTAGTACCACATTGTATATATTATTCTATGTTAGATATTTAATCACTTGAAAAACGTTAAAAAAATATTGCGATGATCATTACTGAAAACTTTTGTTCATGTATCCAAATCTATATTTATTACAAAAAATTGTTTTTATGTTTTGCAATTGTTTAAGGTTTAAAATACTGTATTTTATTTTCACTTGTAGAAGAATAAAGCGTATAATTCGATGTATAAATAAACACTTCCTTCTAATACTAAAAAAACTTTTACAGTTGAAATAATATTTACACTTTTTTATTTTTTAATGAATTACTGTATAAATTAGAGGAAAGATTTATTTTCTACTTTATTTTGTTTGCCTACAGTGGTTTGACCTTCAACAAAATTTTGATGTTTGGAGAAGAATATAAATATCTGTTATTATTGCTAAACACCTACAAAATAAGACAGATATCTAATGTGTGAGCAAAAACAATATGCAATCTTTTGCAATTACATTGATCTTAACAACAACAACAAAGAAAAAACTAACAACCTGTCCTAATGATTTCTGATCTATTTCTTTTTTCGATCTTTTTTTGAGTAATTTCATTCTAATCTAGCAATTCTTATAGTTGTGCAATCCTGTTTTAGAAGACCTGGTAATGCAATACTTGAAAGACATCTAGAAGCAATCTAGAATTAGGAAACATACTCTCAGCCAATTATAGACAGAAAAAGAGAATATGTCTGCTGTTGCATCGTAGAAGAGGACAGAAAAATTTAAAAGAAAAAGAAATAATTATATCTGAAGGAAATTAAAATTGTAAAAAGTGTATAATCAATGATTTAATCTCGATTTGTCCCATTTTCATTTATACATTTATTGACAGTTCTAACATAAAGATGATCTATGTTTTTTTTTCTACTCTTACTTTGACTACCTAGATTTTGAAGATTGAAACAGATTGTCTCAACTACTTGATCGATAGTAATTTGATTTGTATTTTGATACGAAAGATATTTTATTGCGCATGATCTTCATATTTTGTAGACATAAAAAGAGAGTGCTCAAACAATTCCGATTATAACATCGTCACTCATTATGATTTAACACGGGATTATCTTTCTCAGATTTAGTAAAAGATAACATTGTAAAATAATTTTCAGTTTTCAATATCAATGTATTGATACTTTTTAACTCTATTGAATACTATTTCACGTATTCGTACATTCTAGTTCTAATCTTCATCTAATAGTACAATCAGTCAAAACAAATTTCTAGTCCTATTAACTACATCTTTTTCGTCTACGAAGCGTTTTGTGCAAAACTTATATAGTTTTAAAAAATAAAAAAATTATGAGACAAGTCAATACTTAGGGATAGATATATATGCATAACGCGTGAGAAAAAAGAATGTTTATCTCTTGAGCAGCATTAAGATGAATGCGTTAATTATTCATTTTTTGGATGTAGAAAAAGTAATAAAAAATGAGTGATTATGCAATACAATCATTTGTCCATTGAAAACAGGTGTGTTTGAATTTTTGTATTCAGTTCTTCCATTTTCCTATTGTATCCATTTCTATCCTATGAGCGGTTCCTGTATAAAAATAAAAACGGGAGTAATGTTGACTGTTACACGAAATAAAAATATCTTAAGAGAAATGCTGAATGAAGATTTATCGTATATTCTGACAAACGATAAGATAGTGAAATACGTTTATATTTCCCATATAATTAAAACGTTAGCAATCGTTTACTCTCATGCTAAATGGAATGATTCACAGTAATTTCTTTCTAAAGTATATGAACGTGTACGAATTCATTATTCTTCAAAAATTAAATAGTTTAATTATAATTAACATCTCACATTTATTAGCTCATAACTAGGTAAACTTTTGATTAATTAACTCATTTGAACATGTTTGCATATTTTTTTTGATATTAAACATTAATTTAAAGCACGTTACATTGTTTACTTAACGTCACAAGCAAAAAGAAATGATTTTTGTACTAGACTAAGCTAGGATATATTAACCTAGCTTAACCTCGTTTATTTTCTTTTGCTTAGGTTTAATAAGAAAAACAAAAAAAAAAAAAAAAAAATTATTATTTTCATTATCGTTATATGCTTTCTTTGATAATATATGCTGTTATACAGTTGTTGTATTTATGATAATATAATTCTTCTATAGTATAAGATTATGTTTGAGAATGTCAGAGATCATTCAAATCTCGATGATTTATTTTTTAAATTAGGTATTCTCAGTTTGAAAGGTATAACATCATACCAAAGAGATTAAAACATATGATATTTCCTACACATCTGTGAATGATAACATATTATTGTAAATATTTCTTGTTAGATACTAAATAATACATTGTAAAAAATAAAGTAGGTTGGCGATCTACTAAACGACCCATCTCAATGAATACGTTTTACTCACTGATCACCCACGTTCTTTTTTACACTCTATTTTTCTCTTCATTTTAAATATAATAAAAAAAAAAGCACACTGTATGTTATTTTAATTCATTTTAGTATTCTGTTATTTTTTTTAATAGTTTTTTTGTTTTTTTTTATGAAAAGATTATCGTAAAACATGTCTCATGCATTGTGTAAGATAATTTTCAAAATAGAGGCTTTGTCACATCGAGTAACAAAAAAAAAACAAAAAACAAAAAAAGAATGATTATCATAAATGTAAAGTAGAGAGTCTTTGAAGCGATTCGAAACAGGCAGAAAGTGGAACGATTGAGCTGTGCTTTTTATATTAGAACTGTTAGCATCTGTTTTAAAACAAATCTGTCTATTGTTTACAGTAATTTATACTAGACAACTGGTGTTGTATAGTAGATGTACCAGTCTACAATACTCCTTGTTTAACTAATATAAAAAAGAAGAAGAAAAAAGAGAAAAGGGATATAAAGCATTTCTATTGTTCTAATATGAATTTAATACAACTATTGAGTTGACATCATAAATAGTGTTATACACATATTAATAGTCTGGCTTCTTCAAAAGAAAAAAAAAATTATGTAAAGTCTACATTTTCAACGATAAACTCCAAAAATGATTTGACTACAAGAAATCATATAAATATGTAGAATATCTAGAGTTCACATTGTTTTTCATACAATAAGTGAATACACACAATGAAGATATCGATATTCGTAAATAGTGAAACCAAAGAAGTTGAATAAAACATATCGTTCTTGACGCTTCATTTGTCTTTCTTTGTGGGTTTTTTTTTTTTTGTTAGAAAATATTTTATTTTATTTTGTAGTCTTTTAACCTTGTAAAACTTTTTAGAAAAAAAAAAACAAAAAAAAAACGATTTTATTACACATAGATCTTGTAGACCATCATTTATCGTTAAATATGAAAAACATAAGGTACAGTCAATAAAAATAAAGAAAAATGTTACATTTTTTTCTTTTAATTTAAAAACAAAATATATAAACAATAAAAAGATTTTAGGTTTTAAATTTAATGTCAAATTTCAAAATTTTTTCTCTGACATTTATAATGAAGGATTTTTCTTGACGATTTGTATTTTTTGACCTTAATTATTTATTATTCCTATTTATATAAAGGCGTGTACATATATGTACATATATAGAGTAATATGTACACAAAACGTTGTTTAATCCCTCCCTCATTTTCTAATGATGTTGTAAAGAAGAACAAAAAAAAACAAAATTAAACACAACATTATTTAGCGTCTATACACTTTACTTCAGATTTCACAAATGTATTAGAAGAATATTTATGCAATATTTGAGGCAGATTCGATGTTTGGAAAAAAAAGATGAAAACTCTTAGGATGAGAGATCCACTATAAGGAGAAACCGAAGCCCATAGAGAATATTTTATATTCGAATGTTGTTCCAATGGTGCTACATATAGAATCTAAAGCGTGATGGACGAATTAGTCTATAGATTCTTTTAAGTACAACACTCAATTTTCTTCAGTTAATAGGTCTAAGTTCAGAAAATTCTTTGTTATATATCCAACATCATTAATTAGTGATCGATTAATCTGGATATTAATATCAGTGTATGTCTGTAACTTACCAATTCAAAATCAATTCATAACCGATTCATTTTTTTTTTTAAACGTAAACTGGACACATCTCTTCTTATTTTTTTTTTCGGCACTAATAAATGTGAAAAGTGACGCCAAAATGTTCTCACAATACAAGTCACGATTTTAGAGTGGCTGTTTTTCTTTAACAAAAATCAATTCAAAATAAATCTGTTGAATTGATCGATCTCGTTCAAATATCAACGTTCATTTAATCATAAATGAATATGAAAGAAAAAAAAAAAATTCATATTTTCGCTTTTTCTGTCATATGTTTGCGTCATTGTTCACTGTATCCAGTAGAAAAATTTGGACGAAAACTCAGTTCAGTACATTATCATAAAATACTGTATGTAAATGGAATATCTTTCACTTTGTACAGGTAAAATGGTCGAATATTTATGATCAAGAAATGATTTTTTTTTACTGTTCGACAATATAATCAAATTGTTGAACATAAAACGTTCTATAGGAAAAAAAAAGTTCTAGTACACTTTTATACGAGTATCATATGCTTTCAGAACAAATATTTTTCTTTTTAACATTAGAATAAGTTGCCTATATATAATACAGTTTTGTTCAAAACATATGTATGTATCGAATATTGTTTTATACCGAGCAGTAAAAACCGAAAAAAAAAAAAGGAAAAAAAAGAAAAGAGAAAAGAATTTCGTGTAAAATGTAAAGACATACAAATCATATTTTTAATGTTCACTGATTTTCATTTTTCATTTGAGTCGATTTCTTTTTGTATTTTTTTTTTTTCTTCTTTTATTCAATTACATGTTAAATGGCATATTTTGTTTCTAATTTATTCACTCTCTTATAGAAACTCTATTTATCATACTTTTCATGACTTTATTCATATCATTCTTTGAGAGAGGTATGTGATTATGACTCTAAGTAGTCAATTACTCAAATATTAAATTTCCATAATTATTTCTGATTAACATAACAGTTTGATTGTAATGAATTGTGGACAAACAAAATTTCAACAAGTAAGTCATTGATTTTGTTCCATTTTGTCGATAGAATAAATAAATTTCTATAATTTTAAGAATCTTTTTGATAGCTAATTATTAGTGAAAGTTATAAAAATGGTATTAATGAGTTAATGATACGTTTTCATTTCTTGATATTTCATAAATTTTTATCTTGTATATAATCTTTTGTTCAAAAAGTAAGAAAGTTAATGTGTGTTAGACCGTTACTTATCACTTTCAGATTAGGTAAGAATAGATAATCCAAAAACTTGTAATCATGCTAGTGGTAACATAAATTTTTAACAACATAGACAGATCATTATAAGAATTACTTCAAATTTTTTAAATTTATCGACTTTACCTATTCTTATCTAATCTAAAAGTGTTCAATAAATTGGAATATACATGTAACTGGTATATGATTTATGCTACACTCTAATAAGAAATGAATTTTTAAAAATATTTTATTGTCCACTTCGACGTTATTTTAAATTTCTATAGAGTAAAAACGTGCTATTCTATGTAATTAGTGTATAAAATTGATGTTATTAAATTAAAGTCTGATGTTTTGCCTCTTCTTTTCATCAATAGTTCAGTTTACTATTTGCATCAAAAAAAAAAACGAAGTTAAGTAGCGTGGTATTGTAAAATTACATATGGATAATTTGGAATTAGAACACTAGAATAGATAGATATTTAATGACTTTTGTTAAATTTTATGGTATAATTTTTCTTTCTTTTACTTTCAAAGAACGTTTTGTATATTTATTTGAATATTTATGAACATTTTATACGTATATACATCTACATATATATATATATATATATATATCGATGTGTACTGTATATAGTTTAACATCTAGATCTATTGCTGTATTTACCGTTAAGGTTGTTAGATGAAGCTGAAAAACGAAAAAAAAAAACAGAAAAGAAATGAAATTATGCATATACGAAGAATAGTGAAAAAGAATATAGTTTATATATAATAGACTAAATAAAACGAATGACGATATTAATGATTACATAATGGAAATTAGAATTTTAAATAAATAGTGAAAAGAACGTTCATTTTATTTTTCAATAAAATTTTGTGACTTTCATAGAAGTACAATGTTCTAAACAACTTTGTATATAGAAAATGTATGAAATAAAAAGTTATTTTCTTTGATTATGAGATTATAAATAAAAATTTTCATGGTACTATTTATATTATCGTACCCTTTTACTCTTATTCGTTCGTCACTCTAGAAGAATTTAATGAAAAATATGTTAATTAATTTTTAATAATTCAAAAATGACTTTTACAAAGTGAATTTAGAATATTTATATGAAATAAAAAAAATACTTTTAACATATTAAAATTTTTTATGGTGAATATTAACGTGTTTTAGAGTACTGAATAATGTTGTTTGTTTTTAAAATACACTAAGATATTATTTGTTCTTTTTTTTGTTTTAGTATTTTCAAAAGGACTTACCATCGAAACATGAAACCGATCATGATTTCCTGTTTTCTAAAGCATTTGCCGTTAAATATAATGCCAAAAAGATGAAAAAGTAATTAGAAAAAAAAAACCCACATGTCTCTATCTTTATTCTTCTAATCATAATGTATTTTATTTTTATAAAAGATTAGAAAAAGATTATTCAACGATTAGAAAAGAAGAACAAGAAGAACAAATTGAAATTAGAGTATGTATACACAATATCAATGGTCTTGTTGATACATTTATCTTTTATTTTTTAGCGTTTAAGAAATGAAAATAAATTATTAAAACAACGAATTGAAAATTTAGAAAAGGTATGAATTAAAGTATTTCTTGTCTTATTTTGTTTTGTTAGATGGACATTCTGTAAGTATTGTAAAAAAATTATAAATATTTCTAATTAAATTAATATCAAGAAAGGGATAAGTTCATGTTCTAAATTATAGTCTATAGAAGAAAAGATTTTGTTATTCTCTAAGAACATTTTAGATTATTTTGTCCTAAAAAAACATTTTTGGTTCTCAGACTTGTAAGTTTTTTGATAAAAAAAAAATTTGAAATTTTTTCCGAATTGTTTTTTCTCCATTTTTAAAATTTCAACAAAAGCATCATGTTTTGTTATGAAGAGTTAATTCGTAATTTGATAGAGAATTTTATACAGAAAAAATTCTCACCGTTTCCAAATGAAGTTTGAAGGAGAAATTTAACTTTGTCGTTTTCGATAGACTTTTAGAGCTGTAACTATTTTTGAAAAAAAGTTTCAAATAAAACTAGTCGTACGATATACTATGAAAAAATATCTTCTCTTGGTTAAAAATTAGGGACATTTTCAAGTTTTGAATTTTTTCCACAAATATTTCCAGTTTGTAGAGCATATTTTGAAGTATATGTCCCGACGTTTTTTCGGCTTATTGGCATTGTTAGATTGAGGAAAAGCTTTTAATTAACCTCAAAAAATGTTGTTAAATTATTTTCTTATTGTGATACAAAACCAAATCAACTAACGAGGGAACATTCCCAAGTGATACGCTCCGTTTCGATTCATTCATATCTCATTCGATAGAGTATATTGAGATAAGAAAAAGGCTAAAAGGATTTGTGCTCTTGACTCTTGAAGACCCAGTTTTCTG